TTATGTATAAATATTGTATTTATTTGTAAATGTAGAAAGTGGTTTTAATGCGCCTACATTTTTACAATGTATATTTTTTCTATTTGTAATTTCAGTATATTATATGTGTTTTTCTAGCCGGTCATCATTCTCATTAACATTCAGTCTGAAGCTCCAACTTTAGTTAACCAGAAATGTGATGCACTCTGCCTTATGACTTCTCTCCTAATTAAGAGCAGGCAGCACTGTTGAATGACATTCTCCCTCATGACTACAAGTGTACAGCACCATGCAGTAGTCTGCGGCTAACAGCTTCTTTTATGTATTTTTTTGTTTGTTTGTTCGTTTGTCATGTGTTTGTTTGTTTGTTTGTACCTTTTCATTTTCTATATTTCCTCTTTTCTTTAATCAACTTTTGGAGATATACTCTCAGCAGTATAGAAACCGAGTAAGTCTTTTCAACTCTTTTCAACAGGACTAACTCCCTCACTTTTCCTCTGTTGCATCTCTTGTCTTTACCTCTCCTTCTCCTCATATCACTTTGTTTGGTTTCTGTGCGGTTTTTTCCTTTTTGTTGGCATGGATTTAAAACTCACAGCCTTTTGTCTTCATTGCAGAGAGTCTGTCTGAGTTAGTGAGGGTCTGTCTACCCCTGGTGTTCACAGGGTGCTACTGTAGTCATGTCTCAGGGTTTCCCTTTTTGTTCCACAGTTAGCCTCCCCTAAGCATGCACTTTTACTCTAGACATTCAGTTTGACAGCTTGTGTAAGCACCAGGCTCTGTGTAGTTCTGTTGTACTAATTCCATCTGGGTATTTTACAGATTGAGAGGGATGTTACAGTAATGTTTGACTTAACATGTTGTCAGCTTTAAATGTAACTATTACTAATGTTTAAATTTGTTTTAAAAAATATTGAAGATTGCATTTGTCTTACGCAGCCTTTAACCTTTTTTCTGGTATGGCTTAAAGGAATAGTCCGCAGAAAATCTCATCTATGGATCATAAAACACTCACATTGCCACTGTGGTCAGCTGAGATTCACAGCAATCACAAGGCGAGACATGCAAGTCTTCTAAAGTGAATCAATCCTGCAGCATTATCCACCGAATGATTTTGTAACAAGCAGAAAAAGCGGAATTAAATTTGCAACCCCAAAAAATGGCAAAAATCCAAATAGGCAGGAACTTAAAAAGGCTGGAACATTTTGGCAGGAAGGACAAAACCATACTTGCCCTTTACCCGGAGGTGAAATAACCAATGGAAAAGCTATGTAGGTAAGGGCAAGTATAAATATAGCGTAGCTGATGAGGGAATTAGGAGTGTGTCTCTGCGTAGGAACAGAAAATCCATGACACACAGAGATAAACTACTGGAAAGGGAGGGAATGGCAGGAAGGCGTTTGACCTTTTGTACAAACCTCCTTTTCTTTCTAACTTCCTGGACGCTAGATAAAAAGATTGATACCATTCTTTAATGATCATTCAATTAATAATACTTTAAACCTCTAAAGTTCAGGACAGTGGATAGAATCATATGTCTGGGTGAGAGAGATCGGGGAATGACATGCAGGAAGGGGGCCAAAGGTCGGATTTGGATTTGGATCTGTCGAAAGTAAATATGTAGATAAATCAAGTCAAACCGTAAATTCAGATGTGTTAACGTTATTATAGATATTATCTCATGCTTCTTTATACTTCTAATCTACCAAAAGATGACCGGCTGTTTTACCGTTATCCAATTTTTAAGCTGAACTAAACTAAACGTCTAGTCAATGAACTTCTAAAGAGCATCAATCATCAATCTTCAGCTAACTCCACTAAAAATATGAATAAGGGTATTTCAAGTATGAGCAATGTCTTTGTTCAACGACCATTCTGCCAAAGAGTACGACAGGATTTGACCTTAAACCAGGAAATAAGTCAGCATTTTTTCACATCTCTTGTTACCTTATCTTAAAGTCAATGCGTTTTAGTAATCATTCATTTTTGTTGGAAAAAAAAAAGCTTTATTGCTTTTTACATTTAGCCTTAGACTTAAAACATTTAGCACCCTTTTGAGTAAAGTGTGACTTGTTTTTAAGTTTTTAACGGTCTTCAAAAAGAGGGGTTGCTAACAAGTGGCTAAGTGAAACTGTAGAGGTTTTCTGGGACATTAAACACCATCATGTTTAACATTCAAGTTCCTGCTAAAATACGTTTAAAAAAAACAGCAGGTATTGGTTCATGGAAGTCGAAGTTTGTTTACATAAACAAAAAATAATCCATTAATCCTTGGACTAATATTGCCGGGGGTTGCCGCTGAAAGGGATTGCAACTTCTGTGAATCAAAGCTGATACAGCTGCTCTTCCTCTCTAAGCTATAATCTTTTCAGAATCCGACACGTGATGAGATATTGATTCTAAGTGAGATTTTCCGTGGACTGTTCCTGTAAACTTCCTGTGACGATTCGTTTTCCTTTATTAAGCTAATGATTAGGCTCAACCCTGACCTGTAAACTGCCTCACCTTTAGCAAACGAAAATCAGCTTCGTAACATTCTCTGTCGGTGTGTCTGTGTGTTTACCTCCTACCTCCGCAGTACTCCCCCAGTATGAGGGCCACCTATCTGTCCATGACCGAGGAACAGAGAAGACACTTTGGGAACGACTTCCAAGCATAGACTTCTTAAGCTGTGCGAGGATGGAAACAGCTTCACACACACACATACACTCACACACACACACACACACACACACACACACACACACAAACACTCAAACAAACAGATTGTGTGGCAGCAGCGAGCATCACAGAGGACAGTGTGTAACAAAGTCGTCGGTCCAGGACGGCGCTGTGTCAGGACAATGGATGCACCGCTGTATGCTCTAAAATGATTCACGACACTCTTCTGTTTGAAGACACATCTGGAGGACCTCGCTAAATATTTCCGACACTCGCCGTCGAACTCTAACCTGCTCTTAACTTGTTGTGTTATTTGGCTTGACAGGCTGAGTCATCAATTGATGAAGCACTATGGGAAAGAAGGTGACACGGCAGAGAGTTGACTCATACCTTAGTTCTTATGTTTTAATGAAAAATGAAACCAATGATTAATGACTTTGATTCAAGGGGTGGGAGAGGCAATTTTGAGTATTCATTTCTCACCAAGGTAATGCAATTAGCCTTTTTATTATGAAGTCAAGAATAAAAAAGGAAATCATTTGTCACTCCTGTTGGAACAGATTTATTTTTAAAATTCAAATTGAGCCTCCAAAGAGAAAAAAACGTGAGCATGACAGATGGTGTAAACACGACATAGTATTTTCTGTGCCCCTGTGCTTGAGGCTTTTTTATTTTTTATTTATGAGGCACAAAGCCAGCAGTTGCGGCACACAGCAGGCGGAGGAGGCTTTGTTGAGGTATAATTTATTTACATTCACACACAGGCATGCCTCGAGTGAAGCTTTGTGTTTTCCGGAGATGACACTACCCTGAGACCACGGCTTCTGTGTATAAAGTGTACAATAACAGACTGGTGTCTCATTCTGATGTGGTTTATTTTCATTTGGTTTAAAAAAAAATAAAAAAAAACACGTGCCATTTTTATATTTTTTTTTTCTAGTTTTGTGTGGTCGATGTCACATAGGATCACTGTTTATTTTTGTGTCTTGTGTTTTCTAAAGGGCAAATAATTCACGTTTTCTGCATATCTAACCCTGCTAATACAAACGAGAAAGTAGTTTCGCTCAGAACTTGGGAAGCTGTGCTCCTCTAACAATGATTACTTAGAATATTCAGGTAATATTTCTATCAAGTCAAACCAATCAAGCAGTTCAGGTTTGTATTGACTAACAATGATTTTCCTTGTAGGGGTGTTAAATACACAAAAATTTTGTTCATTAATTATTTTTCTAAGTGTCATTTCTTTCAGCATGTTGCATTGTACAGGCACTTACTGTGGTGCTTAATTTTGCGTGTGACCTTAAACAACAAGGTCTAACTGTGAGTTGAATAAATCAGTTTTCAGTACATCTTTATGTGTCTTCTTGTTTGTTGATCGTCTTCTCTGTGTGAACCAGGCCCGCCCAAAGACATGGCTTGGCCAGATGTTTGCTTGAGAAGTATATACATTTGAAAAGGCAACACGCACCTAAAAACTAAAAAGTCGCTATTTTTAAATGTGAGTTTTTCAAAATTATTATTATTATTATGGGGGTTTTCAATCATAATAAACATAATGTATTAATATAACAGTCAGTCTGTTAACTAGTGAAGCGTTTTAATGAAATGGAAAAGATATCTAGATAAAAAACTACATTAATTGATTAATTATAACCTACATGCGCACATAAAAGCCTCAACACATTACACTAAGACAAAGATCATAGAGTCTTTGATAAATACGTTGATTTCTATTTTTGCAATTCAAGTTTTATCAAGGTTACCCTGCACCACCACCACCACCACCACAGCAATTCATTTTGTAATACCTTACATGGGCCAGCATTGCTGTATGAAGCGCACTAAGGCAATTTTGAATTCTTCCACAAGATGTCAGTGTAGTCATCAAAAAAAACAATGCTGCCAGGTGGAGACTGTCCTGTAGGAAAACCTACTACTGCACACAACATGCAACAACATTGTTATTGTTGTATTATATTCAACATTTTAACTTCAACTGTTGACCAATACGTCTATAATGTTACCTACATTTAGCAGTGTTGGAAAAAAAAAAAAATAAAATTGTAAAATATGCAAAACTTCTAAATTATATTATTTCTATTTGTTTAAATCTTAAGAGTTTTTTAACTTCAGAAATGGAAGTAGCATTTTCTAACAGGTTTTTACTATAGACTTTAAATAATATATGGCCATACAGTATGTCTATGGTTTTTACAGTAGCTAGTTTGATTAGCAACACCTATGCTACCGTGTCTCCCAGGACAACATAAAGGCAAAGCACGCACACACGCACACACACACACACACACACATACAGCAGGGCAGCGGAGAGGAAAGAGGAGGGACAACCAGGGAAGTGAGCGTCGCAGGTGGGCTGCTGCTGCTGCTGCTGCTGCTGCTGCTGGTGTTACCCACCTCTGTCTGAATATATTCTGAGCGGAAACACTGGAACAAGCTGCGGAGCGTCGACGCACTTTGAAGGACAGAAAAAAGACAAGAGTCGCTCGGAGACGGTTCGCATGGTTGGCTCCCTTAAAAGGTGCCGAGGAGACAGTCAGAGGCGTTTGTTTTAAGAGAAGGCTTGTCTAGGTGCCTTAAGTGTGTTCGCAGAATAGCTCCAGGTGTGTTTGTGAAGACAGGAGGCATGCAGGCAGGTGCAGCGAGGAGGTTGGTGCAGTGTCCCGTCAGCTGTTGACGCTCCGTTTTACCCTTTACGCGGACGGAAAGTGACCATGAAGGACACGGGGGAATCAAAGGACCAACAACTAACTGTGAGTTCAACTTACTAAATAGTTTTGTTCCTTTCTGGTCCTGGACTGACAGGCATGGTTATTACTCTAGTTGTGTTTTTCGCGTGTATTTGGGGAAAGTACGCATGTGACGCAAAGATTCAAACCCAGAAATCAGACAAGTGGTCACTTTATTAGGTACACCATTATAATATCTATAATGCTACATTCTTATTCCATAAAACTCAATATTTGTTGACATTTTAAATAAATGCAATAAGCATAAGGACACTATGTCAATAGAATGAATTGTGCTTTTGTGTTTGTTTTACTTTCAATCTAATTATCCTGTTTACATTTTGGCCATATTGTCTCTATTACCTTCATGCAATCAGGCAAATTGAATTCCAATTAATTGAATTCATACACTGACATGTTATTGTTTTACTTTGAGAGGGAAACACTATTCAGCAACATCAGAATTTTAGACAGGAGAGTTGTATTGGATTGCATCAGATAATACCAGCTCACCTCATCAATATGTTGGTAGTTTTTAGATGGCAATATGCTTTTTCATGAATCCTGACAGCATTCACTACTAGTGCTTGCTCTATATATATATATATATATATATATATATATATATATATATATATATATATTGTTTTGTCCTTACGCCACCTGCACTGCCGCAGCTCATAACTGAATAATTGAAGTTGCTGTTTCAGTCTCCTGGCCCCTCTCTTGTCCAGCATGTAATACACTTTCTACTGGGTGCTGACAGAGAGGGTGACTCATGTATTCCCTCTGGAACTACGTTGGATCACTTTATCATTATAATTACAGAACCACGGCGGTAATGTCTTCAACTCATTTGTGAATTATACATTCCTCTCCTGAAGACCTGCTGTAGTTGTTGTCGTCTTTTTTTTTCTTTTTTTTTTAACCAAATTTGACTCACTTCAAAAGATATCACCATTTAATTTATTTGACATACTTTTTTAGGGGTGGGTATCACCAGAGGACCCAGGCTACGACATTATCACCAAACTTGAGTTACGAAACGATGTTATTGCGATTTTAAACAATTTGCGATTTATTTTGAGAAATTGCGACAATATATTGCGATTGATCTTTTTTAACTGCATATTGTGTCCACAAAACTAAATCAAGACCTGTTTTGTCAAATAAGAAAACATTCTCAGTCTATTCATCTCACTTCAGTCTTTATTTCCACTAAAACCTTCTTTTCTTTTCTTTTTGCAATGCAACTTGTTTAAAATGAATTGTGCAACCTCTTCCACAACTAAAAATAAAAAAAAAGCACATTCGCTATTAACATAATGAAATTTTCAAAACTTTTTTTCCACCGCCTCTATGATTTATATTTAACATCATAAGCCAAAGTTGTCTATCAGGCATTTTAAAAGCAATATTTGACATTTAAAGTATTATAGGAAAGATAAAAACTGAATATTACATAATAATAAAGCAGTTTCAGAAAAAAAGAAAGGAAATAAATTGGTGCTCTTTAACAGGCTTCATGAAGGGCTGCTGCTGTTAACTTTAATGGGTTAAAACAAGTAAAAAGAAAGGTTTACAGTTCTGAATTAAGAAATAGCGTTTCTAGCACTTTTCAGTAGACACTAGCTGCCGTTGAGGGGGGCTGCTTGCTGAGCTGCCACTGATGTCTATATAACTAATGGCATATTTACTGGTTTTATCAACAGTTTCCTAATAATTGGAGGATAACTAGGCTTCACTTTAAACATACTAGTGGAGTAAATTTACTTTTATACCCCTAGTGAGATTGTTTTTAAATAAATGGTTTGGTATCTAGTGAATGCTATCCAGTGCTCATTAGGGAAGGACAGTTCACCCTCTATAGCTACAGGGTTTAGTTTCACATTTGAGCTGAGTGTTTCTGCTGATTGTGGTGAAAGTGTCACCGCTCTAATTTGTTTCTCAACTGATCATTAATCAGGCTGTGAAGTGATTAAGGGCTGATTGTGGGATTGAAAATGTTAATCAATGTATTCAACCATCTGTTGTCTAAACCTGTGCATCACAGTCAGGGAGATGACTGCATGCACTCAGAAAATGGTCCATTGCAGGGTTTTCACCAGTCTACTACAGTCATTACATTGATAGTCCTTCACCTGCACCGAAGTATAAGGACTGACTGTTGTGCGCTGTTTGAATTGAAAACAAATTTGACAAAATTTGCTTGTAATTTCAAGAATTACGTACAATTTTTTAAATTTCACCTGCATGAAAATGGTCTGTAAATTGTGTTATAAATTAGAAATACATCTCTAAATACAGCCACCTCAAGAGTCAAGTCAGACTCCACACCACACACATCCAATAATTACAAACTCATTTCTTTTCAAAGTAAGGGAAATCATGCTGTGAGTTGTTCCTACCGCACAAAGGCAGAACTCAGTTCATTTTCTAACCTATAATTTCAGTCAATTCAATATCTCTGTGTGGATTAAATCCAAGGACCACTTCATTATTATACTCATTGTGTGTGCTGCAGGTTGCCTTGAGGATCCGACCCCTCAGTGATGCTGAGCAGGAGGAGGCGGCCACAATAGTGGCCCACAGACTAGACGACCAGGTGAGAACCTTTGTGTGTGTGTGTGTGTGTGTGTGTGTGTGTGTGTGTGTGTGTGTGTGTGTATCAGTAAACTGTTTACCTCTGTGCACATACAGTATACATGCATGTGGTGAGTGAGTGATGGGGTCAGTGAGTGTGTGCCCCTTTAGGAGAGTGCTGTTGTCTCTGTTTCAGGAGCCTCTTCCTGCCTGTCAGGAGGCTGCACAGATAAGGTATCTGCAGGGACCTCAGCAGCTCTTTTTATAAAACAAACTCGTTTGTAAAGCTCAAATGTCACATTTCATTTGTAAATGAATGCCGGATGACTCAGACTGGAGCAGAACGACTGACCTTTTCTAACCACTCACAGAAAGCATCGCATTTTTTCAAAGGCACATGGCAGAACGGTTCGCTGTAGTGAATGTCTGGGGTTTAATTGGACGTCCATAACTGCAAGGCTCTTCACACATTAGTACTGAGGGGTAAATCAGTAACCAAGTGAGCGAAAGTAGTAATTACTTCTGTTGTGAATTATTCATCTATCAATTATGCTGTAGTTTTCAGTCAGTGTTTTGGTTAAATGGCGTCCGTCATTTCAACAACATTGGAAAATTGATGACGCAAAACCAGGGAATTGAATGTACCGGCAACATTACCCACAATGCAACACTGACACAGACAGTTCAGTCAGAGATCCAAACTGTGTTACTCTCATAAAAGCAAATCGAGAGATATTTAAAGCAAACATTCAGAAAAGTTCTGGTTCCAGCTTCTCAATATTACTGGGTCCTACTCGTTACTTGCTGACATCCACGCAGCTATTATGGTAATAGTGTTCTCTGTTAGAGTGTAGCAGGACTGGGATGCGTCTGAACTGAATGTATGTAGACTGACGAGCATAGCCACATGATGACTACAACATTTACACATCCTAGAAAATAAAAATATTTCCTCATTGGGTTCCTATCACACAATAGATAAACAGGGACCCTTACTTAGAAAACAACTACTGGTGAGCTGCATCTAAGGTTGTTCTCTCAAGCAAAAGTATGAGCTCCATGAGGACCGTGTTTCCATGCAGGCCTCCCGGTCCCTCTTGGAGACCATTTAGCGGGACCAGCAGTGAGAGTGTGATGATGATGAAGGTGGTGCAAATGATTATGAGCATCCTGCTGAGGTGTCTCCCCACTTACTGTCTCCTGATTGACGTGGGAGTGGGCGCTCCAGCAGTGGGCAGCTTTTTTCTTAATTAGCAACGATGGGAGCAGAGAAAAGTGGCAGCATAGCAACAGTTGGCATAGCAACGTTGTATTAATTGAAAAGTGTGTATAGTTCAGTTTGCGTTTGCAGCTGAAGGCGACCCTTCCCGGAACAGATAACCCGCCATGCTGAGGGTTCACTCGTCTTTCTGCCTTCTCAGAAGTAATTTAATCACACCCTGTCTTAAGGACAACATCAGCACTTCTGTCTGCCGTGACATAATTAAAGCAGGCGTGAACACAGGGGATTAGAGCGTAGCGGCAGGCAGGTAGAAATGTTGCTGACACAGCCACCATAACAAGACTTTGTTGTTATCGTCAGCTCCACCAAACCTCAGCCAGAAACAACTGTGCTTCAGTGTTTCCCGTCTTTCCAAAAAGCATACTCAGTGATATCTGTGGAGGCAATTACAAACTGGCAGATCATTGAACGAGGTTATTTAAAGTTCTCTGTGGCACATTCACCGTGCGGGATCAGCAGAGCTTACAATACAGCCTTGTTATTCAGACAGTCGGATAGAGGGAATCTGTTTACCCATGTCTTGAGATGGACTTACGAGGGGTTGCCCTTGCATGAATGCAGAGGATGAAGCGAGTTCTGTCACATCAACACACTGATGAGATTATGAAGCACGGCATGGCTGAATCTGTTTACCTGTGAAAAGAAATACTACACTAGAATTCACACAAGACACTAATAAAAGAGATGCACTGATACCATTTTCTCTCTTCTCGATACAGGCCTGCTACCCAGCCTTTAGTATTTTGCAGATACTGAAAACAGATACTAAGTGCTGTGTACAAATTTAAAGCGTAGTAATAAACATCAGTACCCCTCTGATACTGATCTGTATAAATACTGACGAAAAACAATGATTTTTGACATTTTGTCAGCTTTGACTGACATTTCACTACCTGCTGCTGGTTGTTGTTATGAAACAATATTTAATCTGAAACTAATTCCTTGGTCATGGTGTGGGATCTGTACACTGACTGGCATTTATGCTGATACCCAACACAACGTTTTAGGCGGTATAAGGCCAATAGAAGTACTAGCATCCCTACATCTCTAGCTGAACAAATGCAGAAATACACTATATTTCCTTCTTGATACCAATTGGATGCCTAGAATTAAATATTGGCCTCAGAAAATATCGGTGCCTTTCAAATAATATAAATATTTTTGATGAAAGTAAAACCCTTAAGGCTTATATTTGCTAGCTTTGACTCGCGTAACACTATGCTGTCGGTTCTTATTAAAACACATTATTTGATCTAAGACCAGTGATTTTGGGTGCTTACTGGTTATCAGACTGTTGGCCAACTCTCTGATAGTAGAGCACATTTTAGGCAGTACCAGAGGCTGATACAGTTAGTGGTCGGTTCATAATAGAGATTTTCAGATACCTTGTTTTCCTTCCTGTTGCTACCAGTTCTAAAACCTACACCTGAGTATTCAGAAGAAATAAGAATTATATTGGTGGGAAAACACTTGAATCACTACTAATGCTGGTACTGTTATCAATACCAGTATCTGTATTGATACCAATAATGGTTCTGCACAGGTATCAGTACGATACTTATATCATCATTTGTATTGGAACAATTCTAACATGTACATGTACAGATATGAGGAAATCAACTTCATATACAAATAGCATCTTCAAACCCTTTCACACACAGTCACTCCATAAATACATGCAACAGTGACTTTAACACTTAGCTTTCTAAGGCAGACAAGCAACCATCTGGCTAAGAGGTAGCGCTCAGACAGATTAGGAGGACGCTGGTGGCTGACTTGGCCGACTGGGTGGGCATTTGCAGATCTGGCTCTTTCCGCAGAAAGCAGACATCTCAGAGCTAGCTAAGCCTGAGGAGATGAGCTCAGTGGAGGGGTTTTAGCTCAGGTTAAGCCTGCTGCCACCTGCTCTCCTCCGCTCTCTTCCCCCCCTCAGATAGACCGTCCCGGGTGAGTCAGACGCTGCCTTTCAGTGACCACCTGTTACTGAGTGAGTAGTACACAGGTCAGAAGTGTAGTGTGGTCGATTTATGAATGGGATATGAAATAGCCTGATAGGTTAACTAACATGTGTAACAATCATTGAAAAGTAGCTTTTACCCCAAACTGTATACAAAATACAAACTTAACTTTAAAACTGATGCATGTAAGAATTCAATCTGCATTATTTTTTTATGATTTATAATTTACGAAGGCCTTCAAACTGAAGGTAGAGTAATTGTTCCGGATGGATTTTCAATGACGCAGGAAGGAGAAATTAAAAAACCGGCCAAACTGGTGTTGTCTTGGACACTTTGGACAAAGAAAACAACAAAACTCCCAGAGAGTCCAGATACTGTTTGGACATGGACAATAAAAAAAATGGTATCAGTTTGATGTGATAATATACCTGCCTAATATGTTTGAATTCTAGCTCCAAATACTAGACCACGAGAACACGCTGTACCCAATTATAATTGTTTGTGTAAAATCGGATTTGGCAGTTTAATAACAAGATTTGACTAATCGTTCTTATTTTCTGATCAGTGTCCTCAGATGTCTGTTTCGGGCTGCGTGAGTCGTTTACCTCACCTGTAAGAGATACACTCATCAGAGATTTCACTCGACAGTAGCTGTCAGCCAGACATTAAAACATGTCAGACTACATAAGCCGACTACACCCGTGATGTTCCAAGTCACGTAACCATCCTCTCTAACTCGATCATTTCACAGTGGGGAATGAAAGAACTCATCTAAAGTCATCAGAACAACACGGTGACATGAAGTCAGCAGCAGCTCAGTGAGCAGCCCCCAAAGCCCCACCAAAGAGTTTCAGGGATTTCTAAAGTGAAACTGTGACTATATTCAGTCTGTTATGGTTACGTGAGGAGTTATATTTTTAAAGTAAACTGGGTTTCCTAAAAAAATTGCTTGATCTGCACTACCCTTCTGACATCCTGTGTGACATAACACAGATTTTCTTTGAGTACTTTTGCCAGCTTTTGTTTGTTTTTATCACGCAGAAAAGGAGACTTTGACTGTTATCTTGTCACTGGGTAAAAGCTTTTTTAACAAGGAACACAGAATGGTCATTTTGAAACTGGACTTGTGAAGGTTAAAGCCTGCCATGCTTTTGTTCCGGCTCTGTTTGCAGTAACGCTGGTAAAGAAATGCAAGTGCAGAGAGGCAAATTGTTCCTGAGTGCTCTTAGCTCTCATTAAAACGGATGCAATTATAACCTTCAAAAACAAACAAAACTATCAAGGAGAAGATGGCCTGTTTTTGTACATTTGATTTCCATCCCTAAATCTGCTGCTGCGGAGTCAGACAAGGTGATTATCACCAGACATTCCTTATTCACTAGTTTCTTGGTTTTATTTAAATATCAGCTCTTTGAGGTTTATGTTCTCATACTCATTTTGGTAGAGTTTGATGGCTGTTCAAACCTGACGTCATTCACGGTAAAACCAAAAAGAACGTTTAATTTCACATCCAAATAACACAGATTACTTGATATTCTCACAGTGTTGCTTTTTTGTCAATCATTTAAAATGTAGAGATAATGCTCATTCAGGAACATGTCATTTGTTTTTCATGTCCCTAACTGACCTCAGATCAGAGTGAGAGGAGCCTCAGACGGTATTTACTTTAACATGTTGAAGTAAAAAACCAGGGAGGTGATATCATCCCTCCTTAACAGGCTCATGGGAATGCTATTTTTATCCCCTGAGGGTTAAAGATGCTCGCTCTACCATCTATGCAAC